ATTTTAATTAACTTAGTTTAATGTTTCCATATTGTACTCAAAAAACATAACACCACTTTGTACCTCATAAATAACATGACTGTAATTTGTCAATATCTGACAAATTTTTAAAAAGATAAAATACTAAAAATTACTATATTGAAATTATAAATTTCTATGAATCAAAACGTCATGAACAAAGTTGAAAAAGATAAATGGCAATTATGAAAAATTATGAATAACATATAACTGAAAAAGAACAAGTGTATATATTATATGAAGAACTACTAGCATTTATAAGTTAAAGAGACTAGAAAAAGAATGTAAAATGAAGAAGACCCCTGAAGAGATAGTTAATAATAAAGAAATACTTATATCTTCCCCAAACAGAAAAAGATCAATATCCCTCACAATACGAGACAGTTATAACGCACACTCTCTAGGGGATGGGAGCATTTATAATTTTGACACAAACAGTACAAAAGTAATTTATATAACTAAAAGGTTTGTACCCCCATAATCTTCTGAAATAAAATTAAATAAAAATTAAATAAAAACAAAAAAGTTAGTTGCAAAAAATAAGAGAAATGCAAATTTAAAGTAGACAGAAATATCATTTTTTCACATATCATATTTGAGAAATTCCAACTTTTACAACCCCATCTGTTGGCATCTCTGTAGAGAAAAGGTCAGTCATATACACCAGTGATAGAGGGACATACTACAACACCTATGGAGGGGGATCTACTGATATCTACCAAAATTAGATTTATTCATATTTGAATCAGAATCCCACTTCCAGAAATCTCTCCTACAGATACATGTAAATGTATGCTACATGCTCTTGTACAAGCACATTCTTTACAATATTGCATAGAGTAACAACAAAATAACAATAAAAATAAATACTCATTAAATTAACTATGGGGGAGGGTTAAGTATACGCCAATGAAAGTGGTACGTTAAAGACCTCCCAAAACTCTCTCACCATCAATAAAAGCACTGACTGATGAGAGAGATTTTTATTTCAGTCATTTCAAATAATTATCACACCCATCAACATGGCCACCAAAGCTTATAGTTTCTGGCACACTTTTTAGTGAATTACCACATTGATTATTACATTAGACATTGTTATAGGTACTGCATGTATAAAGATGACATAGTCTCAGAACCTGCTTTCAAGACATTCACTGTATATTTGGTGAGGTAGACATCTTACCAAGGGGCTCAGAAACATCTCCTATAAATGACTAATACTGAATATTTTTGACTCTGTGGGCCTTACTCTCCCTATTGAAACTACTCAGTTCTGCCATGGTGACATGAAATCAGCCGTAGATAATACATCCATAAGTGAATGCAGCTCTGTCCTAATAAAGCATTATTTATGGGCACTGGAATATAAATTTAATATAGGTTCCAGGGGTCACAAAATATTATTTTCTTTCATTTTTTCCAAAAATTTAAAAAGGAAAAACTTTATTTGCAAGCAATAGAAAAACAGGTCATGAGTTAGCTTTGACACACAGGGTATAGTTTAATTGATCTCTGATCTAAACCATAAGCCAAACTTTGTAATATACTTCAATTAGTATTAAAAATGTCAACAGTATTTTTTAGTTTTTAATGTAAGGAAACAAAGACACAGGAAATTAAAGAGACTTGTCAGTTGTAACAGAGAGAGTAAATAGAGAAACTATAATTCAAACCCATCTTTTTACTCACTAATCATCATTATCTCATGAAGACAATGAGTCTACTCCAATGATCGTTACAATGACACAAATTGTCAGATGTGTTTAACACCTCAAATAAAATTATATTCTTACTTATAATGGAATTCACTCAGCACTGTTCAACTTTTGAAAAATGAAATATACACTCACACTAGTCTATGTTAATTTTACATGATAATTGGAAAAGAGGAAACAAATTGTTTTAAAATTATAATGACTAATTACCATATGCAGCCACATATCTCTTAACAATAGAAATATGTTCTGAGAAATGCATCATTAGGATATTTTGATGTGTGAACATCACAGGATGTAGTTACACAAACCTAGATGGTATGACTCAATACTCAAACACAGGATTTATGATGTAGCTGATTGGACCTCAACTACAAATCTGTAGAGCATGTCACTGTACTGAAAACTCTAGACAATTGTAGCACAATGGTATCTGTGTATCTAAACATATCTAAACATAAAAATTTTGTCCTATAGTCCAACATATATATGATCCCTTATTGAGGGAAACATCATTATATGATGTATGTCTAACTTGTTCCAGGAGGAAATGAATTACTGTCTAACAAATGTTCTCTTATTGTTTCCTTACCCTAATAACTTCAGTTATTTTAAAAGATATTTAACAAGTGATTATATCTGTGAGATACATGCTCATGCTGGTTTGTATACTTTATCCCTCATGATAATTACATTCTGAAAAAAAAGTATATATTACTACGTAATATATTTATAGATAGATTATATTTATGTATGTGTGTATGTGTGTGTAAAATTTGTCATTTATTATTAGAAAGGGCTCTATGATCATGGCCTTAGCCACATATACATAACTTAGCAGTGAATAGTATATATTGACCAATGTCAACAAAATGAATTCTCTCATAATAAATCCAATCATTGAGAGTTTAAAAATTATCAGAAATATAAAACAAGCTGGTATGTATCAAAATACTTAGGCTTGAGCTCTTATTAAAAGTCTAGTAAATATTTTATAATGTAAAATATAAAAATGTAAGATATCAAAAATTATGATTACATGCTCAGGGATGACTTGAAACAAACAAACCATATGCATCTATAAAACACATTCTTTTAATATTAGAACTGCATTGTATTATTATTTTATTTCTGTTGCCAAAATCCCTGCTATCCTTTCTGTGGCAGAGAGGAGTAAAGGAGATAATTTTCAGCTTTTTTGGAGGTATCCCATTTCATGTTCATAGTAATTGTAATAATTCTATTTTTCTTATTCAGCAGTGCTATGAAAATATCGAAATGGCTCATTATGAATTCATTAATAAGTATAAGATATAAATTCATTTTCTAAGCAAATTAAAATAATGGCATGGAAGGGCATTATTTTAAGCACATAGTAATTGATGAGCTTTGCAATTTTTACTTTTAATTTTTATAGTTAGGTATGTATGTTGGTGGTGGTGTGTGGGAGTGAGAAAAAAAAAATCTGTATGATTAAGTTAGCATTGCTCATAAAGGCAAATTAGCAAAAAGTAGAAAGACTCTGAGTAAGGGGGCCCTAGGACTGGTAGGGGAATAAGAGAACCACATCCTTAGGTGTGACCCTTTATATCTGTCCCTTTGTTCATCAACACTACAGACAATAAAATGGATAACAATTCCACAGAACCTCCACAAACCTGCATAGCATCACAAACCTCCAACACCTCCTGATCTGTTCACTGGGGCCATATGTTCATGCAATTCCAGAAGGAGTGCTTAGACTTGATCTTCCTACTGAGGCTTCATCTTTTACTAAAACTAGGTGAGCCAAAAAAAGCAAGAAGTTGTCTGACCTTTCCCTTCTCCTTTCTAGAAAAATTTGTTTCTGCTTTTCAGTGAAACCAAAATGACAAGAAAATAATAATAAAATATTATTTTCTCTTGATTTACTCTAAAAGTCACCATATTTTTCTTCTGTTCTTTTTTGTGGGCTATTTTTCAAAGATTGAAAGAATTATAAAAAAGGATTTTGAAATTCGTAACAAAAATAATTTTCTGGTAATCCAATATATTTTGTTGATAGTGCATTTTAAAAAATTTACTTCATGGAATACTTGGTAAGGGGAAAACATATAATGAAGATGAATCTTTGGTCTTATTTTAATATGTGTGTGAGAAAATGATATAATTGTTTCGAATCTTTTTTTGTTTCATATTCTGACTCCATGATTCCTGCCTTGGATAGAAAATACAGCTGTAACCCAGTCCCTGTTGGACAAGAGGTGGAACAGATGGCTTGTGATCCTGCACTGCCTACACATTAGGGAAGCACCACGATTTAGATGGAGTACTATATTTTTTTTTTTAGTACTAACAGTGCTAAAGTGAGAATAAATAGTCAATCAGGGAGATGTGAGCCACTGAGCCTGTAGTCACAGAGATTCCACTGCTGTGCTTGCTGTCTCTCCCATAGGTACTGAACAAATCTAAGTGTGGCTGCTTCCAAAGATCAGTAATTAATCAGAAGTCGACCTCTCCACTTCCCACTCTGTTCTCTACCCTAGAGCCTGGATGACACATGCTTAATTTCTCCCAGGTTACTGAGCATACAATTTCCTAAACATTTTGATAAGCCATTAAATTTTCTTGTCTGCATTTTTGAAGAAAAGGGAACTTAATCTGAAATTACTAGGCATTTTTGTCAATTTCTTTGAGAATTTAATAAAGTCTGTATAGCTAGACCATATTTAATCTATTTCAATATACCAACATTTTATGGAAATTAATTTTGGGAAATGGAAAAATATCTATGTGATTTTAGGGGCTGATAAATAAGAATAGATCTCTGTAATAATTAACAGAAATAGATATTATGAAGGTGTGTCTTCTTTTTAGTCTCATGTACACTAGCAATAGAGTAAAAATATCAGAAAATATAAATGTACCAACAAATGACATTGTGGATTTCAATATACCTTCAAGATAAGAAAAATGAAATTACTTATTTAATTGTGTGTTCAATTAAGTCTTCCTGATTTACATGACAAAACAGAAAAAAAACATATGCCGGTAAAGAATATTTGGTTGGGTACTTATGGACAAATGTTCAGAGAGGTGTGATAAGTGATAATGTTCCTCTTTTTTACAATTCTTATTTTGAGCTCTCTAGTACAAGTTTTAATAATAGTTTCTATTACATAATTCACTTCATGTTTCGTGTCTCTACAAATCCTACTCTAACTCCACCTTCACCTCACCCACAATTTCCCAGGAGAGGAAAAAATAAAACATTGAACAAATACTTACTTTTCCAACATATTGAGGATCTGGTCCCATGTGTTCTTCTAAAACAAAGAACTGATTCCATACCCATCCCCTTTTGGGACGATGGTGGACTTCGGTTTCACCTTCCGTGTGTTTGGTTTGGTTTCTGGTCACCTTGACAGAGCTGTGGTGAGCAGTTCCATGACACCTCTGCACAAAACAGAGACACACTAGGACTGGACAGATGCAAGATGTGCTCGTAATTTTCATTGTAAGATAACTTTCCAGTTCACAGTTTTTCTTCTTTTCCTTGTCAGCTACAAATGCTTAGTGAGCATTCAAGAGAGCAGCCAAAGCATCTTTTGGAAGGACAGTCCAAAGTAAATTGTTTCGCATGTCCATGATTTAACTGCCCATCAGGGAAAGGTCAAACCACATTTACATCCTGAATCACTTGGAGAATCAAAGCTGTAGTTGTATGAATCCAAGTTTTCACAGTAGGTGAACACAGGCAACCATTTTCAACCTAATGGAAAAGAGAAAATTATATACATTAAAAAACACAGTCATTTTAACAGTTTGCTCTGAATACAAATTATACTATTTTGCAATATGATGTTGATAGGCAAAGAATATATACAAATTCTTTTGGAAATATACACAAATATACATACACATATGCCTGCACACATTTTACATGAACTTATTATTTGTGCTATTAATTCTCAATTACATATATATATATATAATTTTTGTTTTTGTTAGCTGTAATACAAATTTGCTACATATAGTACATATCAATTACCTATTGAATGTGACTCACTGAACTTTGTCAAAATATTCCCAAAGGTTAAAAAATTGTCACAGGTCATCATAGGCACTTCATATATCAAACAGGTACTTCGAGTGCTTAGTAAGTAAATTAGAAGAAAATAAAGGAAAACAAATCAAGAAGGTGGCAGAAAATAATGTATGCAACTGAAAATTATTCCTGGCTCTGGGAAAAGATTGGTAGAGTCAGGTATGAGTGAGAATGCTACTTGGCTTAATTATAGTTTGCATGGTTGGTGAAAGGTCTAGGGTTTGGACTTCATTTACAAGCAAGACAGATTTTCCAGCTTGGGAGTGACATTACTAGGTTTGATTTCTAGTATGCATCATTCTAGCAGCTATGTAAAGAAAGGATTAAAAAAGAAAAGTATAGTGGCAAAAAGAACAGAGGGAAAAATGTTTTGATTTTTTAAATAAGAAATGTTGAGGACTTAGACTTAGGTTTTAGTACAATTAGACAACAAAATAAAATTGAGAAACATTTCTGATAGACAAATGACAGGATCTGGGAGAAATAAGGATGACTCTGACAATATTATCTTATTTAAAACATACAACATTTTGTGGCAAATTTTAGTGTAATTTATATGTGTGTGTGTGTGTGTGTTTCAATACACATATAGAATGATAAAATATGGCTATTCCATCTAGTAAAAATATTTGATTTATCACTTTTTCATCATATAAAATTCACCCTTATAAATCAGCAAAACTGAAATGTAGATCTGAATAAATAACCAGGTGGTTGACATGACAATAATTAATTTTAAAAACTGAATATACATAATCAGTCATAGCATGATTCTCTCACACAATTGAGGAAAAGTACATATACAAAGTTGAGGATAAAAAAAGTCAAGTGGGAACAAGAACAGGGGGTTTTCCTCTATATGTATCTCTCTCAATAAATTAGGATTAGTAATAATGTTTGCTTCTTCAGCTCTGTAACAATTGCATAGGTTTAGAAGTTGAATTTCATTTTCATTATCTGACAAATATCAAATAAATTTTTTAAATATTTTAGGAAGGCAAGGACAACTTTTTTTCTGGTTTAACTTACAATAACTCAAAAACTCTCCTACTATGTAAAAGAGAGAATTACCAGCTCTAATATGGTAAAAATATGGGAAAAAGAGTTAGAAAACACAATATTTATACTTGTCGTTTGGGCAGTTTACTTATGAATTTATGTCATTCATCTAATTTCTTTCAGTTTCAATGTTCTCATTTATAAAATCGGTGATAGGAATAATTGCTTTTAATATTCTTTCCACCCTGCCTAATAAATTTTTGGATGGTTTTATATTATAATTTTTATTTGCCAAAAGATTAATAATTCCCAAATAATGAATTTCAAAAAAAGAAACTTCATCTAGTTTTTCTTCTTAGAATCAAAGTTGTTGAATATATAAAAGGTGTTGTTATCTTAATACTTTCACACCATTTGGTGTGATTTTCAAATGAAATTAACATCTTTGCCCTTTATGCTAAGTTGTTTAACAAAGCATAACTTATGAGTAGAAGGTGAAGAAAGTGGCTTTTGTGATTCATTACAGATATGTAGAATGTTCTTTACAATGTTGATCTTATATGTCATTCCAAAAATATATAAGTGTCTTTTAATCTATATATGCAAATGTTTATGAATTGCTATAATGACAATTATGAAAAGAGATAAATATGGTTATGTGGAATGAAAGATCAATGTAAACAGCAATATTATGCTTGTGAAGATAATTTCATTTACTGTTCAACTTCAAGAAATCCATCTTTGCATAGGTTAGAAAGAATTGAAATGCAAATAATGACAAAGCAAACCAGAGATTGAGACTAACACAATGGAAAGATTGTATTAGTAGTAGACATTTGCCATTTTGTAACTAAACAGCATTCGAAAACCCTTCTGCTTTCATGAAACATTCTAATATGTGAATTGTGATGAGCAGAGTCCTTTCACCACTAAACTCTTAGGGATCAAATTCTTATCTTTCTACATACTTTTAGTGGGAAGTTTCATCAATGTTATATTCATGTAATTTATATGCTCCAACACCTTGGAGCGAATAATGGATGGATATAAGGGCAGTTGAGAAATTTTTCATAGAAGTGATAATGATTTCAAGGCTCAGACGCAGTGGTGGTGAGTCCAGCAGCAATAACAGCGTCAAATGGCAGCTGAATTAATTAAGAGACATTCTAGATACAGTGTCCCAGTGGAGAGTACTTGACATTGTTTCTAACTGATTAAACTCCATAGGTTCCTACTTTTCTCCAAACCTGACTCTTAAGTACCATCAACAATTTTAATGGCTACCCAATATGCTTCAAATAAATTTATTTGCTGCTTTCCATAGCCAAATTTGATTTCTGGCGTTTAAAAACAAGAACCTTAGCTGATTTTAAAAAAAAAAAAAGCATTACTGTAATAATACTCAATAAAAGGAAGTAGTTTCTAAATAATGTGCTATACAACATAGTGTATAATATACACATCTCCCCTTTGTTCAGTACTTAATCTAAGTGTTCCAACATTGCTTCCTGAGACTCATCCCTTCCTTCTTTAACTATTACCTTTCCAGTGGTAGAGATAAAACACTATCTTGCAAGTTAGGAGACATGACCTCAAATGTTCATTATGTAGAAAATTATCTCATTTGTATTTTTACTTTACTCTCTAAGCTTTACATTTCTCAATTATGTATTAAAGATTTTCATTTTATTATTGTTAAGCATATTCACTTACTGAATTCTTTGAATTTGTGATTTAATGACTGTGTATCATTTTCAAATGACTTTTCTTATACTGTGTTACTCATATCAGCAAAGATTAAATCATTAGTGATGTCTAGCTGTTTAGCACAAGCATTTCTTCAGGGAGCTCTGAGGAAATAAATTTCTCAAAGAAAATAGCTCTCACATGTATCCCAAATGTTATTGCTTGTCACTTTACTATGGTCTTTGACTGGATTTTCTTACCCAATTGATTGCTAATTTATAAACTTTGGACACCAAAGAGGTCCAGAGAATGTTCACTTTTTAAAAAAAGTTTCCTTTGGTCTTTTTCTTGTTTTAAAACTGTCTTTTAAAAAATATTCTGTCAACTTTATTTCATGTGTGGATCATTCTATTCTCCATATGTCATAGGGTGACATATTATTTTATATATTCAAAAAGTATAGAATTATAATTGCCATTAACTTGTAAAATTAGCTCTATACATTAGAATGTTTCTGATTTTGTGTAGTATGCCTAGCTTAAATACAAAAAGTCAAAGAAGGTAAACTATGGTGGAAAGTCCTTATTTTCTGGAAATACTTTCATTTTGAGATATATAATAACATCTTGAGTGGAAAAGGACATGCCAATGGGAGCCTGAGGCTCATTACACAGAAAAGGACTTCCCAATTCTCCAACAGTAAATCCATTAGATGATAAAACTGTTCTTCACGTGAAGGTGACTGACTTTGAAAATAAAGGAATTCAACTTTTTCCATAATTAATTATTTAAAGCCATCACACTGTCAGGTAGATTTAAATATAAAAAATTTATATTACAATTGAATTCTAGGATACTTATGTAAGATGAAAGTAACAGGTACTGAATAAAATCTCATATTTTTCAGGTTTAATAAATTATTATTTGCTATTAAGCTATATATTATTTTACTTTCAGAATGTTAGCCTGTATTATCTGTCTTCTAAATGCTTAATGCTATCCTTTGGATTGGTGGCTACAGGCACAACTCTCATTGATAGCAAGATACATCCTCATGTATACATCTGGCCTTGAAGGATTTCTATCATTTTTGAATCTGATGATTAGCAGTGACAGTATCATTCTTTCATTCTAAGTTTAATTTTTATTTAATTTCCAATAGTGGCTTATGAAATTTTGTTTTACCTTCCTATCCTTAACTTTCTATTTTTACTATTTTCTTTATAGCTTTGTTTTTAACCTCAATCAACAATATATCAGTTTAATAATTAATTTTATTCTTCTTCATCTGCTTCAATTGGCTTAAAATAGTTCTTGCTTACCAACAAAATGCAAATACCTGTGACCCACACTGAATTGTGGAGAGCCTCACCTAAATTGGTTGCATGTGTTATTTTCAGATTGACTCCAAAATCTATACCTGCAACTTCAAATTGACCATTTGAGAATATTATTATAACCTCAAAGTTTTGATAAAATTGGATGTAATAAGACACATTTGCTTAAAGTAAGCATATATATGTACATATATAAACACATATACATAACAGCTAAATATATTCAAATCATCTTATGACATGGTTCTCTCTGAAGAATAATGAAATATATAAATAATAAATAAATCAGAAAGCATTAATTTTGTATATTGTGTTTTCCTATCAGAAATATTCATTTATGTTTCATTGAGACAATGATGAAAACCCAACATGTGTATGTACAGGCATTACTCCCTGGAATGACTGATTCTATTCTATTTGCCTTGAAAACCTTAGTCTCCAAACTCCATTTAATTAAACTTATGCTCCAGGGTCTAAATTAAAGGCTGTTTCTCCACAAATCTCTCTCTGTTTGGGGAGACAATTCTCTTTGGGTCTTTTGTATTTCTGCGTATCTTCTGGATAAGAGGCATTGACAATTTTATTTCATACCATCTTTTCCAGGATGCTAGCATAGCAAACAACTTTGAAATATAAAAATAT